GCCCCAGCAGAGGCTCCGCCCTCCAGCCTGAGCTCCACCCGCCCCTCAGCAAGCCCCTCCCTGCTCTGAGCGCGGCACACAAATATCCCAGCATCCTCTGCTGACAGCACGGTCACCTTTGGTGGGCGGGTGGGAGAAACAGACCATGTTGAGAAGTGCAGATCGGGCAGAAACCCGTAACGCTGAATCAGTGAATCCTAAAACACCTGTAGTGATGCTGTGGTGTCTGTTGTCGTGGAAACAAGCTCCGCCTCACCGCCCTGTTTGGTCCAGCTGATGGAGGGGCGGGGCTTCCCGGTGACACGGCACTCCAGAGTCACACTCTCACCCGCGCGAACCGACAGCGGCCCAGACGGCGTCACACGCACCTTCGGAGGCTCTGCATCAACAAACACACTCTGAAACCACATCAGGGTTGCCAGGTCTGCGTAACAAAACTAGCACAATGGCCACTTAGAAATAGCCCAAGCGTAGCCCAGTGACCATATCCCAGATATCAAAACTCCAAATATGCAATTCCCATACCTAAAGTACATATTTTACAGTCACTGTTGAAAGCCAGTGTATCGTAGTGATCATAAACACAGCTCTAGGGCTCCTTACCAGTATGCCTCCTTCACAAAACTTTACATCTACCACAGTTTTATCATTTCTTCTGCGGGAAAACCGAGGACTTGGCAACCCTCCATTTAGCTTTGAAGAATCCACAGTTTTAAATTGTTGTTTTGCGGTTTAGATTTTCTTCAGGTTAGTTTTATCTAGGTCTAATTTGCTCATATACAGTATTTACTATTTTTTTTATATATATCTTTTGGACATTATTTAGTTAAATTTTTATTTCATTTGAGTATTACTTTGAGTTCATCCCCTACATCTCGGCACCAGAAAATGTGATTTGCATGTTTACATATAAAAAAATATCATTTTCTCATCTAATTGGATAGTTATTTTGACAGAATACAACAAAAAACGTAAAATATATATTTTTAAAACTGTATGTTTAATTGTTTTCTCAGGTTTCCACATTCACGCTACATAATTTAATCTGGTAGACTTTCATTTTAGAGAATTACTTCACTCAAATACATTTAGAGGACAAACCATTTAGTTGTGTAGATCACATATAATATTCTTGATTAAATCGGTTTTCCCAGAAGTATTTTCTCTCTGTTTTCATTCATATTTTTGCACATATTTATAGTTTCTTCTTTTAGTTAATGATGCTCTTTTTTTGTCATTGCTAATGGTTTTGGAAGAAAAATCTATAATTTTGACCCATACAATGTATTGTTGGCTATTGCTACAAATATACCCCAGCGACTTAACACTGCTTCTGTGCTCCAGGGTCACATTTGTTCTTGGAAGAGTTTGATGAAAAGTGTTTGAGTTTATATTAAGATCTCTGACTTTTGATTGCAATCTTAGGCTGATGATACAAAAAGTGTATCATCAGCCTTCAGTATCTTAACAACTCTGAGCACTGATGTTTCTTCTGAAATCATTTGATCTGTCTTTAATTTCTGCTGTATTAATGAGTGTTTGTTGTGTCTGAAGGTGCTTCGGTGGGATCTGTTTTTCTCAGACGGTTGGTGATATGAAGGCACCTCCCAGCGGCTGGTTGTTGGTCCTCTTCCACTCCAGCTGGAGGGGCTGTGAGCCGCTGGTCACGCGGCAGGTGAAGCTGACCGTCTCGCCGAGTTTAACAGCAGCTGTACGCGGCCGGACGGACACAACGGGACTCTGACCCCATACTGCCATGAGCAAACAACACCGACGCTTGAGTCAATCACACACTACTTCACACACCTCCGCCTACCACTGCATGCTTGACTGTAAGTTACATGACATGTTTGAGAAGATCTAAGGAAACAGAAATGCTGAATTCTTGTGAAAGTCTGTGTCAGATGAACCCTGTGCTCCCGTCGCTCTCACTGACCTTCAGTCCTGCTCTGCTAAACAAACACAACCAAAAATCAAACTCCTCACAGCATGCTTTTAGGATGACAAACACTTCGAAAGGTTACTTTGGAAACCTAATAGGTTACAGATTACGAGTTACCCTATTTAAGTAGTGCAACTATTTCAATTACTTTATTAAAGTAATGTAACTGATTACATTTGATTACTTTTCTAAATTTCTAATGAATATTTTTAACTTTTAAAGCAGGCCGGGTTAAGCTTACAGTAGTACTCAACACTGATTACTGGCAGACTTTCACAATCCTTAACCAATTGAATTAAGATTATAATAATTTAATTTTAAAGCACAGCCACCATGAAATCAGACTTTAGCACCTCTTTTTACTTTGAGATCCTTCTGAGACTAAATACAGATTTAAAATCATAACAAGAAATAGTTTAGCTATGATACTGTTTTTAAAAAATAATCTAATCTAATACTGGCATCTAACAATGCTTTGGAAAAAACAGTTAATCTTAAAAAAATAAAACATACCTGCCTTTAAATGGCAGAAGGTATCGTGCACAACAAAAACAGGCAAAGCAACAAATTCATATTCAACATATCCTACATTTTACAGAAAATATTCACATGCAATCTTTAAAATTTCATAAGCTACCATAATTCAATTGCACATTTTTTTCTCAACAACTGTAACAGATAACAGTTACATTTATTTTGTAATTAGATTACATAACAGCGTTACATGTAACTAGTTACTTCCCAACACTGTTCATGCGCAAACTAAACCAGTGAATGTGATTTGGTCACATTTAATAAATTGATTTAAAACTGACTTTAAAGAGCGTATCAGATCATCAGAAAGCAAAGATATGACCACGTTAAAAGCCAGATATACTCATCCACTGATCTTACAATAATGGACATGTGTGATTAACACTATGGCTCCAACAATAAGAAATAAACCTCAATGCAACAACACAGATGAAGGAATATAACTGAGAACACAAGAATATCATCCTTGATGGAAACCACTACAAATAAGGAAACTATCACTGGAAAATTAGTTTTCATTGACATAAATACAGGATTGAATGTTTAACGGAAATGTGAAGGTAAATGCAAAGACAAGCTTTGCTGTGTTTGCAGTCAGTGTGTGATTTAATCAGTGATTTAATCTTCAGCCTGACTTTAGACTGTATTCTGTCAGGAACAAAAACAGCCAATTAAATAAAGCAGCCGTTTTACATGCAACACAACCAATCACTGAGCATGTTTTCTGATAAAGTGCTATTAAAATGTGTGACTCTGCGATACTTTAACTAAACTAAACTACTACTGAAACCAATAAAATCAATTTTTAAAAGATGCAAACAAAAATGATCTACGAGTAATTATGGCTACCCTGAGTTGAACTGAAAATATGGCACACAATAAAATAACGTTTTGAAAACTAAAATTTGGGCATCTGAATAATTATTAGTAAAAATATATAACATTATACTATTAAGACCTGAATGATTAATATTAGAAATTGAAGGCAGAGAGAGATAGTTTCACCTGTGTGCAGGACAGCAGAGAGAACCAGCGCTGCGGTTTGGACGTTCATGATGGACTGGAGATCTTTCTCTGTCTGGATCACTGTTTAACACTCCTCCTCTCTCTCTTTATCACACACACACACACACACACTCACACCCTCACTCACCCACACAAACTCACACACTCACACTCACACACACACTCACACACAAACACTAACACACACACAAACTCACACACACACACACACACACACAAACTCACACACTCTCACACACACACACACACACTCACACACTCTCACACACACACACTCAGTGAACTCAGTGTCAGCATCAATAACTCAGTCTTGTGTTTCTGTGGGTCACGTGTGGCTTTGTGGGAACCAATTATATGCACAAAATAAAAATCCGACATACATGGAATACCTCCTGCTGCAAAAACATCTCATTTCACATCTAAACATGTCAAACATGTACAGTTAATTATCACTATTTAACAACCACAGAAGTTTATTCTGAAATGCTAAATGTCTTCTGGTAGGCGTAAAGTTTGGGTTCGTCTACAGTAATTATAATTCTCTTTATAAAAAAACAATGCAAGTCTATGGAATGTCTTCATTTAGATAAAATCTTCATTGTCTAAATAAACGTTTAGTGTGTAGGTTTGAGGTCTCACTCTGGCAGAGAAAAAGAAACTAATTAACCCATGACAGACATTACAACAAAACACACATGCACAGAAAAACCAGATCCGTGATGCTCTTATACTTCATTGAAGTGTGCGTGGATATAGAAAACCACTACAAATGAAGTAAATCAGCAACAATTGTTGATTGGTGATCTTGAACATTATTTTAAATCAGTATTTTTAACACACAGGTCTGTGTCTGGGTTAAAAGAACACAGATGTGACACCTACTGCTTTTACTAAAAACACTGTAAAGGGAAGACTATGAGATCAGCCATGAGTCCGGTTGTTTCTGTATTATGTATGTATTATTGTGTATTATTACTCATCTAAACCAAAATTGCCTAACAATGATAGCTGTACTGTGTGCACATGTTTATTAATGATTTGGAAGTGGAAACTCATGTTTATCATGCAAAAATATTTTTACTACGATCCCCCATATTTGGGGTTGTGCTTCTGAAGAACTTAACTCTGCTTTACCAGATGACTCTACATTACCCTTTACATATTTGGGATTTAAATGTTGCTTTCTGTAGCATTCAATAATGTAATATTTGATTGCTAACCAAGTGCAATATGTAGGCCTATGTCTTCACCTAAACATATTCTGAATAGCTTGTGTTTTGCTCTAAACTACATTGCTAATCAGGGTTCAAAATAAATGAGGAAAATATAAATGAAAGATGCATTCTTCTTTTTCAAAACACGTTTTTATTGGACTCTGTTCTGCTTTTTTCCAGGGTGTTTCATGAACCTCCTCCTTGAACTCAGAGTAAAGCAGGTAGAACAGGTTGAGCAGCTAAAACTGAAAGCAAAACACCAGTTTAACATCGTCAAAGACAGAGCATGAACAATCAGCAGTAACCAGCGGGATATTTTTCATGGTAAGTACATGTTTAAAGCTAAATGACATGATACCACTTATGCAGTTTAAAACCACTATAAATGTTTCTGAAGGCATTTGTGTAGAATTCACCTGATTAATTCAACAGTGCAACCTGTTCTAATATCATACACAAGCTAATGTTTTTTTTAAGGCTACTTCGATTTTGGTTTACTTTGAAGTTGATTTAATAATCTTTAATAATTAATATATATTATATATATATATTAATATATACTCTCTTAAATATAAACTCTTAACTCGCTCTGAGAGTTTAGGCCAAATGTAAATATAACGACAAAAAATGTAACAGCAAAATAAGCTTATAACCTACAGAAATATGAAGCTTATTATACTGAATTCATTTTAAATGCGTGTGTAAAACATGTTAAATTTATGTTTTTCTTTGTTTATGGAGGACCTGTTGAGTGGGTGCGGTGTTTGTGTTTCTGTTTGCAGTTTTGATGTCGCCTGCTAGTAAACTGGTTATTCCAGATATGTTTTTTTAGATAAACTCACATTACCTGACCTAAAGAGTTTAAAGAAGTTGACATTCAGATTGACTGATAATTTATTTAATTAGTTATTTACGTACTAAATAAATAACTCACTTACTTATTTATAGCTTGTAACTGGTTTTAAAGTTCAAATATATTTTAACTACACTAATAGAACAGCTGTTTGTGTGCTATAGGGGCCTCTAGTATGTATGCATGAAGTGAATGTGCCTCCTTTACAAAGTAAAGATTTCTAAACAAAAAGAAGTGTGACAGTACTTCTAAAATGGATCTCAGTGAGAAGACAGAGGAGGGATATTCTCACTCCAGGAGACTTCCAGATCCCCCCTTACGAAAACTAACCATGGTTTTACTACAAATAAAACCAAAAAGCCATGGTTACTATAGTTAAACCATGGTAACCACAAATTAACCATGGTTTTGCAACACTAACCATAGTTTAACCATGGTATTTGTAGTAAAACTGTGGTTATACAAATGGTAGTCAATACGCCAAAAAAAAACAGGGTTACTACAATTTTACTAAAATAAAACCATGGTTAATTTTCGTAAGGGCCAGCTGTGTGTCTGTGAAGAGTTACCAGTCCATGGCCCAATCCCAATTGTAAATATAATGTAGCTATTCCGTTTTTAAACTGCTATTAATAAAAGTTGTGGGACAGCGTTGACAATTTTCTTTGCTTCTGGATGTGTGAGCTGTGCGATCTCCGATGTGTGTGTCAGTATGCAGAGCATTAATATAGAGCGGTAAGGCTCTAATGCACACCAGTATAGGTGTGTTTATTGTAGGAGCTTGACGACATATGATGACGTGTGACGGTATAGTAGTGGTGTCCCATTTCTTAGGGGAATATTTTCACCCCTACCCCTTCACACTCTGTTTCAAGGGACAAGGTGAAGGGGTATAAAATAGAATTGGGAATGGGCCTAGGTTAATTTAGTTATTTAACTGTCAACACTTATTTAATGTCTGAATATGCACCACAGAATGTACACAGAAAGACTACATGTTCTAATATAAATGCGCATATATTTTCTGCATAAATACTTTCTAAGAGCCGAGAAAGTAATGACAAAGTAAATTTACAGCCAACAGGAAAGTATACAAGATCATACTGTCAGAAATATGGACTGTCTGTGTTGTGTTTTTCTCCCCATGTGCCTTCCATGACCTAGTTTTCCCTCGTGTGTGACATCCCCATATTTGGTTTCCTTCCTGTCCCTATTGTGTTTCATTGAGTCCAGGTGTGTCTCGTCATCCCCTCGTTTAGTCGTGTACTTAAGCCCAGTGTTTGCTGTGTCTAGCGTGCTGTGTTAAACGTCTAATCCTGATGCTACGTGTGTGTGTCTCCTGGCTACATTGTGTTTCCCTCCAGTTTGGATCATTAAAGACTGTTTTCCTTCAACTCCTTCGTCTCCGCACTCCTTCGTTCCTCCACAGTAGCAGTTGTGACAGAACACAGCACCGACTAAATAGTTTATTTGCGTTGTTCCCCTCCATTTATTTTTTGCATTTTTTCAGTGTTTGTTTTCTGTTTTCCCCGTGTGCCCCAAGGATTCCCTCGCTGTACAGTTTACCTCTCTCGTCCGCAAGGACCTTTCCCTCTTGGAGTATGCTGTGGAGTTCAGCCAGCTCGCAGTTTTAACGGCGTTCGACGACGCTGCGCTGAACTCCCTTTTCTGGATCGGGGCCAACTACTACCACCCCGTCGACCTCCCAGACACCACTGGACTGTGCTGGAGGGAGGCTATCATCCGGTCTCTGGAGAGCGTCTACCCCTGATCCAGAACACAGCCAGACCCAGTGCCCAGCCCACCATCTCCCTGCTGCGTGGAGCGCAAGCCCGAGCCCACCACTGACAGAGAGCCAGAGCCCGTCGCGACCGACGAGCCATCGCTGAAGAGTGCGACAGAACTGAGGATCGCCACGGAGCCAGAGCCTCACGGATCGTCAGACCAGGTGCGAGAGCCGGCTACAACGCCCGCTGCGAGGGAGAAAGCCGTGGACAGAGTGTGCGCGGAGAGGAGCTCCCCCCCTGCACCGTGGCTGAGGGTGAGCTGAGAAGGGATTTGGGTGAATGGAAAGTGGAGGAAGACTTTATTGACTTGTTTACCGACCTGCCCCCTCTCCTCCCTCCTCCGTCGGTGACCTCTGTCCCTTCCGTTCCTGAGATTAGCCCAGAGTGGGCTCCTGTTCCTGAGTTTAGCCCAGAGAGGGCTCCCGTTCCCACGTCCAGCCCAGAGAGGACCCCTGTTCCCAAGTTAAGCCCGGAGAGCCCGGAGGCTCACAAATGCCTGCCCACCCACCCACTCCTGCTTCCTCCACCGCTGTTGTCTGGCAGCCCCTCTGCTCGCCCTCAGCCCACTATCTGTAGAGTGCGAGCCCCACAGGTCTGCCAGTCTCCATCGTCACTGTGGCTGGAGAATCCCTGGCCTCCGCCTCCAGCCTCTAAGCCCCGGACTCCATCTCAGCCATTCGACCCAGCTGCTCCACCTTGGCTCCTAGCTCCCTCCTCTCCGCCATGGCCCATCAGTCCACTGGCTCCACCGGGCTCCCTCGTCCCTCCAGCTCTGCCTTGGTCTGTCACCGACCATCCATCACCTCGGGACTCACCTTCTCTGGCTGCACCTCATCCCTCCGTCCCTCCGGCTCTGTCAGGCTCCTCCATCCCTTCGGCTCCTCCTTAGTTGCTCCGGCTCCACTGCGGCCTTCTGGATCCCCGCCTCCGCCTTGGTCGCTGGAGCCATCTGCTCCGCCTTGGCCCTCCGGATCCTCCCCGTCGCCCTGGCTCATCGGCTCTCCGTCTCCGCCTCGGGCTCCTCCACCACCTGCTCTGCCGCAGTCGGTTGGCCCCCTGGAGTCATCAGCCCTTCCTCCTCCATTGCTTCTCCCTCATTCGGCTCCACCGTGGGTCGCCATTATGGCTGTGGCCTGGGTCCCACCTGGTGCCGCATGCTACAAGTCCCTCCTATCGTCTCCCTGGCTCCTCCCTCCGTCTGATCCACCCTGACTCCTCCGGTTTCCTCCATGGCTCCTCCCTCCGTCGTCAACTCCCTGGACTCTGTCTGCCGGCCCCCTCCCGGGTGTCCACCCACCTCCTGAGCCTCCTCCCAAGTTCCCAACCATTCCTCCTTCTGTTGTTTCTTCGGCGCGAGGACGCGCCTTCCGGGAGGGGGCGATAGGTCAGAAATATGGACTGTCTGTGTTGTGTTTTTCTCCCAATGTGCCTTCCATGACCTAGTTTTTCCTCGTGTGTGACATGCCCATATTTGGTTTCCTTCCTGTTCCTGTTGTGTTTCATTGAGTCCAGGTGTGTCTCATCATCCCCTCGTTTAGTTGTGTACTTAAGCCCAGTGTTTCCTGTGTCTAGCATGCTGTGTTAAACGTCTAATCCCGATGTTACATGTGTGTGTCTCCTGGCTACCCTGTCTTTCCCTCCAGTTTGGATCATTAAAGACTGTTTTCCTTCAACTCCTTCGTCTCTGCGCTCCTTCGTTCCTCCACAGTAGCAGTTGTGAGACATACTGAATGGATTGTAAATTGCTGAGTAAAATGTGTTGGGCTGAAATCAGTGGCACAGGCCCACAACTGAGGCCAATGATATGGTCTTTATTTGTTTGTGGAGGACTAGTTGAGGTGAAGAGTGTGTGGCTTTTTATGTGTTTCTATTTTGTTTTGTAAACCAGTTTTTCTAGTCATTATGATCTTACATGATCTGACCTGAAGGAGATTACATTCAGAACATGCTTTCATTTCAGACTGTAATTGTTTGAAATAAAAGTTCAAATTAAAATTAAAAGTAAAGCTCAAAAATACCTTTAAATCTAAATTATTAGTACAGCTAATTGTTATATAATGCTTTAGTGGTCTTTCTGTATGCAGTGTCTAGTATCTTTGTATGGATGAAGGGTGTGAATTTTCCTAATTTTTAAAGTATATGTATTGCAGGCCTGTTAACTACACCGAGAGTGAAACTGCTTCTAAAATGAGTCTCAGTGAGAAGACAGAGGAGGAATGTTCTCAGTCCTGGAGATCTCCAGAACCCAGCTGTGCTGGGTCTTTAGTTGTGGATCATAATTTCAGTGATGAAACAGTGACCACTGATCATATGTGAGTATAAACACACTGGATCAAGTTAGGTGCTTAACTGTTAACATATTAGTTCATGCGTGAAAATTCATTAACCTACAATTTTTTAAACAAATTTACATGTACTATTTCTGCATAGATTTATGGAGGAGACAAATTATATCTAGTAAAACCAATATATGCCATTATGCACTCTGACAATTAATCATTAGAGAGAAATAATCATTTTGAGAAATAATTTGAGCCAATAAAAGAGATGCCTCTGAACTGTTTTATGCACATGCATATGTGAAGTTCAACAGAGACTTGCTTTCCTGTATGTACAAGCCTTTAATACATATTAGAAATGCTTGCATACCTTAAAGGGGTGGTTGACTGTTTTTTTATCTTGGCTTGATTGCGTTTATGGGGTGCAGTCTAACATGTATTAATGCTTAGTTAAAAAAAAACAAAAAACATTATTTTTCATATAATTTACCTTTATTCTACACCGTTCTGTCCCTTCTCATTTGAACACTCTGATGATTTCCTGGCTTTATGAAGCTCCTCACTCAGAAATAGGCAATGGGCTCAGATTGGTTAGCTGGCCCAGTGTGTTGTGATTTGCTAATTAGAGAAGCAAAACAGCACAACACCTTCCATTCAAATAAGGTAAAATAATTAACAGCTTTTCATCTCCATTGGTTTTCCTGTACAGTATGCTCCTGTCCAGTTCTGGTTTGATTCATTCTGTCTTCATTTAGCAAGTGAATAAGCTAAAAAGTAGTGGACACTTGTCACTGTATTCACTTAATCACTGTATTCTTGCGTCAGCAGTGTGGGAACAAATGATCAGACTGCAGACAACCTGAAGGATTCTCCTCAAACAATGAATGATGTTCTGAAGAGAGTAAAAGACCAACACAAAACCAGCATGAAGTACAAAAGTGAGAGATTATTTGAGGGAATCAAACTCCAGGAGAATGAAACCCTCCTGAACAGGGAGTTTCTCGCTGCTTTCTATGTGTTTTACTGCTATTTAAGCAGCACCATGGACACTCTTAAGGTCTTTGATTCAATGCATAATTTGCTTAGAGGTGCAGTAGATAAAGCCCTTGAAAGTGAGAATGGACACCTGGATCTGTTCCTGCGGTTCCTGCTGGGCGTCTCACTGGAGTCCAATCAGAGACTCTTACAGGATCTACTGACACACACAGAGAACAGCTCAGAGAGCATCAGGAGAACCACACAGTACATTAAAGAGAAGATCAGAGATGGACATGGACTCTCCACTGAAAGATCCATCAATCTGTTCCTCTGTCTGCTGGAAGTGAAAGATCAGACTCTGTCCAGAGAGATTCAGGAGTTTGTGAAATCAGACAAACACTCAGAGAAGAAACTCTCTCCTGCTCACTGCTCAACAATTGCCTACATGCTTCAGACGTCAGAGGAGCCGCTGGATGAGCTGGACCCAAAGAAATACAACACATCAGATGAGGGCAGAAGAAGACTGATACCAGCTGTGCTCAACTGCACAAAAGCTCTGTAAGTGTTATTTTCAAACATTCATAATAAAAATTACAATGTATTGAAAAGGTTTAAATAACATCATCTTATGTTCTATATTTTGTCTAATAGTCTTGCTGGCTGTAATCTCACTGCTCAGGATTGTGAAGTTGTGTCATCAGCTCTACAATCCTCAAACTGTGTCCTGAGGGAGCTGGATCTGAGTAACAATGACCTGCAGGATTCAGGAGTGAAGCTGCTCTCTTATGGACTGAAGAGTCCAAACTGTCAGCTGGAGATACTGAGGTAATTAGTTATAATATTTTTCCATGTCTAATTTATTAGAGATTAAAGAAATATTAATGCCTTTTAGATTCAACTCAGTTTGTTTTTATTTGTATAGCACTTGTTTCAATACATATTGTTTTAAAGCAGCTTCAAAGAAAATGCATGTTTCAGTAATAGAGTGTGATAAGGCCCTAAACTCTGGTGAGGTGTTGAAGAGAAACCTTAAAAGAACCCAGCCTCGAGGGGCCCATCCTCCTCTGTCAACAAAATTTATAATATAAAGTCATATAACAATAATAATATACAGCTCTAAGAAAGTACAAATTACATGCTAACTCTGCACAAAATATCAAAATAAAATTGATATCGGGATATGGCTAACTGCGATTGCCTCAATGTGCAGGCTGTTATTGAATTAAAAAAATTAGGCTTTACCAGTTTTTGTTGAGAAACAAGCATGCTTCCTAAATATCTGCAGACATATTGTGGTATTTAGTTCAGTCTTTAGTACAGTCAAAAATTACAAACATCACCTTTAATATTTAATTTATCCTTTGAAGAGTATGCAATGTTATTTTACATTTGATTATTCAATTTCTGTACCTGAACACAACTACCTGAAAAACTTAATCCACTGTTTATTTAATTGTATCTGTTATATTTATTTGTGCTATTGCTTATAATTTGTTTATTCCTTCTAATTTTATTTTATTTTTATTTTATTTCTGTTGAGCTAGCTAAGCAAGTAGTTTTTGATGTGGTATTGAAATTGGGTCAAAACCACAAAAACAATAATTATTTTTATTTTATTGTATTCATTTACTTATTGTGGCAGGGTTAGTGAAATTTTTGGCAGCACAGCTATATTTCAATGCTTTAACGATTAGGCAGCTTGTGATCCTATTTATTAAAATATATGGTTAAAATTATGGGGTCTTGTTAGTCCATTCATTGTTGGTGTCATTGCAACATTCTTATATGAACCTGGGTCAAAACTGGAGCTGGTTAAGTCTCCGTTTACCTCAGGATGGGCATCCTGAGATAGAAGTGGAAAGCAAAATTAGCATAGCTGCTGTTCAAATTATTTTAGAGATAATCATGTACATTTGTTTTGATTTCATCAGTCATAACTGTAATACTAAGTTATGAGATGTGTTATGTGAAAGGTGGGCTAAAGAGATGTGTCTAGATTTAAACTGAGAGAGTGTGTCTGAACCACATACATGATCAGGAAATCTAATCCAACAGCTCATATGTTGTCTGCTCCACCTCAGTGTTGTTCCAGTAAAAGTAGGCTAGCGTTAACATCAAATTACTTCCCAAACATTTTCCAAATATGATAGTTAGGCTGATTAGTTTAATTTTTACGTATTTGTGACCTTTTCTATAGTCACAGTAGTCTATACACAGTAGTCTCTATAGCAGGGGTGGGCAAACTTTTTGACTTCGAGGGCCACATCAAGTTTTCCCCACCAAGTGAGGGGCCGCATAGTTGTGTATGACAAATGAAGCTTTTTTTTAAAGGGGTCATATGATGTTGCTAAAAAGAACATTATTTTGTGTATTTGGTGTAATGAAATGTGTTTATGCGGTTTAAGGTTAAAAAAACACATTATTTTCCACATACTGTACATTATTGTTTCTCCTCTATGCCCCGCCTTTCTTGACCACTACTGTATACTGTATGTATACTTGTACATACATGGCAGTTCTATTCTTCTACCATCTCTGCCTTATTTTCTATGAGCACTTTATGACACAGATAAGTTGCATTGGTGTACAAGTCGATTGATGTATGACACATTTTTATCATTTCATTCATAAATAATGTAAAATAAACGAAACGTTTACAAACATTAGAAACATGTATATATTCCTCTCACTCCACAAAAATTTAGCAGTGTTCAGAACAGAAAAAGGAACAAAAATATAAGTAAAATCACAAATTATAGTGGCATTCACTACAAACATTTATTAAAAACGCCCAACCTAAATATTTAAAGAGAAACTGAAACTAGCGGTGTGGTTGCTGGAAAATGCGCAAAACAAACTCACTTGCCTTTCTCATTTGTCACCAATCCTAATGTGCACGCTTTGCGCTTGACCTGATTGCTTTAAATAAGTCGCCTTGGAAATTGCAGCACGTTTCAGATGATTAATAAAACATGATTTATAATCCAGAAAATAACTATATCCATTTTCATAAAAATATGTGTGGAAAACATAATCTTTGCCAGATAAAATGAAAAATTACTTAATCTGACCATGTGTGTCTGTAGATTATCTGACTGTGTGTCTGTAGATTGTGTGTGTCTGTAGATTATCTGACTGTGTGTGTCTGTAGATGATCTGATTGTGTGTGTCTGTAGATGATCTGATTGTGTGTCTGTACATGATCTGTCTGTGTGTGTCTGTAGAAGATCTGACTGTGTGTGTCTGTAGATGATCTGTCTGTGTGTGTCTGTAGAGGATCTGACTGTGTGTGTCTGTAGATGATCTGTCTGTGTGTGTCTGTAGATGATCTGACTGTGTGTGTCTGTAGATGATCTGACTGTGTGTCTGTAGATGATCTGAATGTGTCTGTAGATGATCTGTTTGTGTCTGTAGATGATCTGTCTATGTGTGTCTGTAGATGATCTGTCTGTGTGTGTCTGTAGATGATCTGTTTGTGTCTGTAGATGATCTGTCTATGTGTGTCTGTAGATGATCTGTCTGTGTGTGTCTGTAGATGATCTGACTGTGTGTCTGTAGATGATCTGAACGTGTGTCTGTAGATGATCTGTCTGTGTGTCTGTAGATGATCTGTTTGTGTGTCTGTAGATGATCTGACTGTGTGTGTCTGTAGATGATCTGACTGTGTGTCTGTAGATGATCTGTCTGTGTGTGTCTGTAGATGATCTGTTTGTGTGTCTGTAGATTATCTAACTGTGTGTGTCTGTAGATTATCTAACTGTGTGTGTCTGTAGATGATCTGACTGTGTGTCTGTAGATGATATCTGACTGGAGGATTCAAACTATAAACTGCAGATACTCAAGTATGTACAGCTGTTATAATTCATTTATATGTGTGTATGTGTTGGGGATCACCTAAAATCTTTTAAAGGGGTCATATGATGCTACTAAAAAGAACATTATTTTGTGTATTTGGTGTAATGAAATGTGTTTATGTGGTTTAAAGTAAAAAAAAACACATTATTTTCTACATACTGTACATTATTGTTTCTCCTCTATGCCCCGCCTTTTTGAAACGCGTCGATTTTTACAAAGCTCATCGGTCTGAAAAAGCGAGGTGTGCTATATCTCTTTGGATTTGAGACTTTAGTCTTTGCAACTTTACAGATCTTCTTTATGCACCAAGAGCTTGTAACACTCCAAAGAGAAAGGAAAAATTGAAATCGCATCATATGACCCCTTTAAGAAATTTCTTTAAAAAAACTTTTTGTCTTCAAAAATGCTCAAATGATTTTTTGTTCTTATTGAATACAGCAGAATCCACTCATTTGTGGCATTCGCACAACTTTTTTTCCCATTTGCTTTGACTTTAACCTCTTTTTAAATGATACAGTGAGGTATTTACAGTGGTTAAAATGTTCACAGTTACAAAAGTATAGTTATATAAAGATATAAACAGTATGTCATATCTTGTCACATCCAAGTTTATGGATTTATTACCATAACAATGTAATGATGTAGAGCAGGGGTGGGCAACTCTGGCCCTCGAGATCCACTTTCCCATAGATTTCAGCTTCAACCCTAATCGAACACAGCAGATTCAGTTCATCAAAGTCTTCAGGATTACTAGAAAGCTATAGGCAGGTGGGTTTTATTCGAGTTTGAGCTAATCTCGCAGCAACCTTACAGCTGGAATAATATGTGAGTTCTAATAGAACAAATAATTAAAGCGCTTTTATAAAATAATAAGCCTCATATTTCATCCAAATATAGGCATTATTTACTTCTATTGTACGTGCCTTGCAGGTGACAAGTCAAAATGATTTTCTGGGGTAACATTACCATTATATATATTTGATCTTAACTTGTACTGAACACTGAATATTTCTTTAAAAAAATAATACTGATCGGAAGCGATAGCCTTGTGGGCAGCACTCCAGTATCAGGAGACCCGGCTTGAGGTCCTTTCCCAATCCTGGCCCTCTCTGTCCCACTTCATTTCCTGTCAGTTCTCTATACTTATCATAATAAATGGATGGAAACAGTAATAAAAAAAAAAATATATAAATATTGAACAACATTCAGTTCCTGTCACAGTGTGGTATAGGAGAAGGCAAGGTGAGGATCTAAATGCAGGTAGCATTTTATTTACAAAACAAAAGCTCAGGATCATGGAAAAATATATCATTAACTTGAACTAACACAATACATAATACATAATAAAATACAAACGGAAGACAGAAAACAATTAGTGCGATGCTGAAAAGGGGCGGAGCTACATAAGGTCCATGATGCTCAAATGCATACATTTAATAATTTTTCCTCAATCCATGGTACTGCTGTGGCTATTAACAACAGTGACTATTTCATTTGACATTAGTTATCATACCATTGAACTTTCTTGTTGTTTTTGTCTCTGTTTAGACTGGATCATGGAGGAGATACCAGGATCAAACCAGGACTGCGAAAGTGTAAGTCCTCACACACACACGCACGCACGCACACTCACTCACTCACTCACACACACACACACACACACACACTCACACACACACACTCACACTCACACACACACACACACCTCTGCATATTTAATGATGTCAGATGTTCTGATCTGCTTTTCTATGTTCAGATGCCTGTGATCTCACACTGGATCCAAACACAGCACACACTCAACTCATCTTGTCTGAAGACAACAAAGAAACAGCATGTGTGAAAGATCACCAGCCATATCTTGATAATCCAGAGAGATTTGAGCGCTTTGAGCAGGTTCTGTGTCAACCGAGTTTGACTGAACGCCATTACTGGGAGGTTAAATTGAGAGGATGGGGTCATGTAGCAGTGGCATATAAAGGAATCAACAGGAAAAAAGGGAGTGACTGTCGATTTGGACTCAACGACAAGTCCTGGAATCTTTATTGTTGTGATAAGATTTACTCTGTCTGGCACAATAATGATAGGACAAACATTCCTCTCCCTTCATCACCCACTGATAAAATAGGTGTCTATCTAGACTGGCCAAACGGCACTCTGTCCTTCTACATCGTCTCTGACACACACACACTCACACACTTACACACATTCAACACCACATTCACTGAACCCCTCTACGCTGGTATTGCAGTTTATTATGGTTATTCAATGTCTCTGTGTCAGATTTAACAACCTCATGTGAGGAACCACAGAGACACATATAGAAGCCCCCCCAAAACACCTGCTGTTTAGATTTAAATAACCAAATACTTAAGATTCTATAATTTGATCATTAATGCAGTGATTAATGTTTCTGGCATGTTATATGTCAAATGATGCAGTGTAGCTTTCATTTCTTAAACAACCAAGTCAGAAAACATATCCCCTGGTCATTTTCCAAGTTGATAATGCTATTGGATTCAACAAAAATCCAACCAAATATTAGCAATTGTGAGATTTACAGTGTGAATAGTAAAGATATATATATATAGAATATAAAGTTACATCCTAATATATAAAGTCACAATTATCAGAAATTTTAATTATCAGAAAGTCCCAGTCAGGAGATATAAACACACAGCTACTGGTCTGGTATTTTGCGTGAGTCAGCAGAGAGTTGAGTGAGAAAAGGTGTTGGTCTGTAGAAACACTCTGGACTCTTCATTTGGTGTGAATAAAAGCTACTGTAGATGTCATTGCTGTTTCAGAGGATCCACAGGCTCATGCTAGAGACTGTTGGTCAATGTGTTTCCCTTCTGTTCAATATATTAGGCAGACAAATATTATATTTGTAATTCTTTTTCTTTGTTCTGCATTTTGGATTGGTGATTTTGACAAAATAAAATGGGTCAGTTAACCAAAAATGTGTTTCTTATGCTAACATCTAAATTAAATCTCCAATTTTGTTTTAGTCAAAGTAAAAGACAAGATAGGAACAAATATGGCTCTACTTCATTCTTCATTAGGTTGCAATAGTGAAAGTAACTTTGGAAGGTCAGATCAGGTGACAGTGTCTCTTTAAAGGGGTCATATGATGCGATTTCAATTTTTCCTTTCTCTTTGGAGTGTTACAAGCTCTTGGTGCATAAAGAAGATCTGTAAAGTTGCAAAGACTAAAGTCTCAAATCCAAAGAGTTATTCTTTATAAAAGGTAAGAGTCAGCCACGCCTACCTAAAACGACTCTCTGCACAGTGTAGCACTGGATTACTGGATTCTGGAATCTTTGCACACAGTTAATCATATCCATTGTCTGTCATGTCTGTAAGTTCAGATTCAGTGCTGAGAGATCCAAATTAACATTGAGATGAAGTAGTGATGTAGTGTGTGATTAAAGCATGTGTTCACACAGACGTCACAATCACACACTGTCTGCTCTCCTCCATTTCATCTGTCTTTCTGATTTATCCGCTCATCTCTCAGCATGGAGGGTTGCCATTCAAATTCATTTGTTGATATCAAGAATTGATTTCTTACTATTTAAAATTCCAATGGCACATATCAGAAATACAGTTCTTACTATGTCTCTCAGTCTGTTTTCGTTCTTTATCTTCATTAGTTGTCTCTCATGTCCTGAATGGATGTTGTTGGTGTCTCTGCTGCTGGACAGGGGTCTCTGTGAGTGTGTGTCCAGGACAGTCTTCTCTCTGTGAGACACGGCTGGAGTCTGTCTCTGTTCTGTTTGAATCATCTGACTACTGTGAGCCGTGAGAGAAACAGCTGACACACATGAAGAGCACACTGCATGACTGCAAGGTTACGCACGCACGCTCACTCACTCACTCACTCACTCACTCACTCACTCATCACTCACTCACACACGCAAACACACACACACACACATGCAAACACACACACATACACATGCAAACACACACACACACACACATGCAAACACACACACGCACGC